GGGGGGGGGGGGGGGGGGTGATGGTGAAGTTTCGAATTGATCGATACATTATTGATATTGATTACGATTCATTATAATTTGGGGAATACTGAACAATTCAGGCATAACACTTACATGGCCTGGGTTGTTATTTCACTGAAAATCCAATTGGGAAACCCAAAGAGTAAACTTATACAGACGTGGTAGACTTGTCCAAATTCTATTTTAAATTAAACTTGTTATTTAATATTTAAAGATGATATTGATATATTAAATAACATCGCACCTTCTCTCGGACATTTTCCAGAATTCCGGTGGTCCAACTACTCCACCATCTTAAATGGTAAAAATACATTGGTATATATTCACAGTAAACAGTACCGTAAAGAAATTTTACTTACGAACTACCTTCTTCCTGCGCCATATTTTCATATCAGAATCAAAACAATACTACTCAGGCATTGCCCGCCTGCAACAAACGGCCTGCCTGAATGCAGGTTGTCACACCAATGCAATGTCGGCCATGAGTTTGGCGTGTTCTTGCATTTTCACAAATTTAAATATAAATTATTAGCTTTTCTTTCTTATCTGAACCATTATGCCGAGTACATTGCCGCCGAAGGAGAATACTCTCTTTAAAAGAGTGTTGGTAAGTCTTTATATGTTCTTACTCAGTGTGCAAATATGCATTTTGGTCGCAGGAAGTCTGTACTATTCACACTCAATGTTGTGCTGATGTTTTATACTTGATTTCTTGCAGAAATGTTACGAACAAAAGCAGTATAAGAACGGCTTGAAATTTGCAAAGCAAATTTTATCAAATCCAAAATATTCAGAGCATGGAGGTGAGTAAATCGAATGAAGTTTGAATCATTGTTCAAATGTGAATTAGATACCTAGTTATAAATTAAAAGTAAATTAATCACATGTCTGTGTGGTTATACTACACTTTAACACGTTGTCCAGTTGTCGATGTTGAAACATAATCTGAAAAATATACAAAGCACTTCAATGTTTCTAGCGAAGGCCCTTCTAGATGAACGGTCTTTAGTCTTTCTATATTTTCTGATAGATTCATTAAGGTGGCTCGATATATTAATAATACAACAAAATCCCCTATGATACAAGAATTGAGAAAACAACGTTATCCTATCTGAACAAACCCATGTGATCATTCTTGTCTCTGACCCTGACATGGTGGCTTGCTCACACCATCTCGCGCCATTGGGCTATTCCATTTAATATCCGTACCCCCCCCTGTCGAGGATCCCTGGAATTCTTCAGGGGTAAAGGGTTTTGAGCTTGGAATTCTTCAGGGGCAAAGTGTTTTGAGCTTGGAATTCTTCAGGGGTAAAGTGTTTTGAGTTTGGAATTCTTCAGGGGTAAAAGGTTTTGAGCTTGGAATTCTTCAGGGG